AGTCCTCCTCTGCAACAGTATCTTCAGCGGTTGGTTCTTCAACGTAGTACTCCTCGCCCTGGGTATCGGCCTCTGCCGCCAACACGTAAACTCTTGGTGCAACGCCAGACTGCTGTAAAGGCTGAATGCGAAGAGGTTTGGCGTTCGTCGGGGCAGTCCCCTTTTCCGGGCAGTATGTCGCAATGTGTCCCGATCGTCCACACTGGTAACATGTCGGAGGAGTACTGCATGGTCCAAAGTGGACTCGCCTGCATCGGGGACAAGGCCTCCTCTGGGATGACTGTGGTGGTGGTGGCCGAACCACCGGTAATTTCCCCTTGTCTCGGGAGTCACTAGTCTGACCAGTACTGGTGGAAGGTCGACTAATGAAGAATCTTCTGGTTGGGGTTCGGTCTCGGATCCGGGCCTCCTGCAGCTCCTCACGCTCGCCTCGCTCCATCTTCTCGAGCTGGCAGATGTATCGGTTCAAGGTAGGATACTCCAGTACCTCGATCTTCCTTCGCAGAGAGGGGCGAAGACCAGCAACAAACTTCTGAATCTTCAATCTTTCGGTAGGAACAAGATTAGCTCCATATCGTAGGAGCCTAGTAAATTCTGCCTCATAGTCACCAACAGAACGGTCACCCTGCTGAAGATTGATGAACTCCACGAGACGATGTTCCTGATCATGTCGCTTGTAATACTTCTCCTCGAACTCAGCTCGAAACTCATCCCACGTGAACTGATGTCCAGGAATAGTATCTCGCACAACTCCATCCCACCAGTGGCGAGCCTGTCCAAACAGATGGTGACTCGCTATCTCTGCTCGATACTGTAGTGGACACCGTAGATAATCAAAGTCATGTGTGATCCGCACCAACCAGTCCTCAGCAACTTCAGGAATCTGAGAACCCTCAACCCTCGGGGTGTTCATGGCCCGAAGTTCCTTGATCAGTGCAAGGTAATCCACGCCTACTGGTGCGTGAAACGCCGGCAGACCTGGTGGAGGTGGTGGTGGAACATACTCTGGTCTAGCCGCAGGTATGGCTCCAGCTGCTGGAGGTGGCATCTGACCCTGATACTGTTGCCACATCCTCTCGCAGAACTGTCGAAAGTCCTCTGGCATGGGGTTAGGGATAGGTGCTTCCGCTGCCCCGAGTCTAGGCGCAGGTCGTGCACGTCGTGGAGGCATAGTCACTGTAGACATTGAAAAGGAGACTTAGTCCCGGTGACTTCGAGATCATGCATTAACTTTTCAAAACATTGTCTGTCAAAAATAGAAAACTTTTAAAAATCATGTTTTTGAAAACCTTCTCAAAACATTTTTACTGATATCAAGTTTTCGCATATTCTTTTCCGAGGAAAGAACTGCTCTGATACCAAATTGTGACACCCGTAACCCCGTATCCCGCTTACAGGTTGTGCCACGTGGACAATAAAATCACAATCGGAAAATTTCGAAATATAAACTCGCGGGAAAGTTAAAACGATCCATTTTAAATATAATACAGCGGAAGACATTATAAAATACATCAATACGTTCGCACACGCTTGGAACGGTACCAGTACATAATACAAGTGGTGTGAAAACTATAACACAAAAAGTTCGAAGATCACCACTCTTTATTTTTGAAAACAGAATGCGTTAAAGATAATTATACATGATCAGGAAGTCTAGCTGTCACCGGGTCCCGTGTCTGCCTCAGTCACTGTTGCTGCTCACGACCTGAAACGTTGCATAACAACGTCCTAAGCTACGTGCTTAGGGAGGAATTCGGGTGTAACCCGAGATTTCTATTTTTATTGAGGTTCAAGGTAGGATACTCCAGTACCTCGATCTTCCTTCGCAGAGAGGGGCGAAGACCAGCAACAAACTTCTGAATCTTCAATCTTTCGGTAGGAACAAGATTAGCTCCATATCGTAGGAGCCTAGTAAATTCCGCCTCATAGTCACCAACAGAACGGTCACCCTGCTGGAGATTGATGAACTCCACGAGACGATGTTCCTGATCATGTCGCTTGTAATATTTCTCCTCGAACTCAGCTCGAAACTCATCCCACGTGAACTGATGTCCAGGAATAGTGTCTCGCACAACTCCATCCCACCAGTGGCGAGCTTGTCCGAACAGATGGTGACTCGCTATCTCTGCTCGATACTGTAGTGGACACCGTAGATAATCAAAGTCATGTGTGATCCGCACCAACCAGTCCTCAGCAACTTCAGGAATCTGAGAACCCTCAAACCTCGGGGTGTTCATGGCCCGAAGTTCCTTGATCAGTGCAAGGTAATCCACGCCTACTGGTGCGTGAAACGCCGGCAGACCTGGTGGAGGTGGTGGTGGAACATACTCTGGTCTAGCCGCAGGTATGGCTCCAGCTGCTGGAGGTGGCATCTGACCCTGATACTGTTGCCACATCCTCTCGCAGAACTGTCGAAAGTCCTCTGGCATGGGGTTAGGGATGACTACAATCATACGTTTCACAATATCCGGACCCATCCGGTATATTGCTAACGTCATGCAATTCTACCCGTTTTAATCTAACTTTAAATATCATTTATTTACCGGTTATACTATTTATATTATTGTTATTTATTTTTATTTATTATTATTTTGTTTCTCAATAATCATTTGAATTTTATTTATTCATTTATTTGTTTATATATTTATCGATTCATTACTAAAATTATTTTTATTGTTATATTTCAAAATTATCTTACAAATTTATAATATTAACAAAAAAAAATAATTTTATACACGACCATGTTATAAATAATATATCGGAACGTTATTTTATTTTTATTTTTTCTACAAAACACTGACAATTTAAATTTACGAAATTAGCCCCAATCAATCATCAAATTTGCATAAAACATACAAACTCCGAAATCAATAAAAATAAAATTCTCAAAGCCACATCCAAATTCACTCACCGTATTATGCCGGTCGATTTTTTTCCAATTGTAGTGTCCACCGGGATTAGTCGGTAAACTCTTTCTATTTTTTTTTAATCTCTCTTTTTTTTACTGCATTATATATATATATATATTACCCTTTTTTTTTACCCCTTTTTTTTTCTCTCTCTCTCTCTCTCCCTCTCTCTCTCGTGCATTCTATCCGCTCCCTCCATGTCTCCCTTTATAGGGAGATTTTTTTTTTGTTTAAATTATTATATTATTATTATTATATATTATATATGTATATGTATATATATGTGGTTGCACCTAACTAAGGGTTATTTCACGTGGGCGGCAATTGTCCATTTTTTATAGTTATTTAATTACTAATTAATTTATTAATTAATAATCAAGTTGTTATAACTGCAGAAGCTATCTCATCGTCAGTCGGAATTACGTCAAGCAAGCTCAGTAGCTCATCAGAATAGGAGGTGGGGAATAGCTCCCGGATTGTCTCTACCGACCAGCAATCCAAATTCGGGTCCTCCTCACCCAAGATGGAATGATAGTAGCTCACTGTCATGCGCTTGAGCTCATCCACATTGTGGACTCGATCACCTGCATCCGAGACAAGAAACCGAATGGCATTAGATGATAGCCTAGACGCTGCAACACGATGGAAAAACTTCGTGTTTTGATCCCCTTCCGATAGCCAGCGAATACGAGATTTCTGTTTCAAAAAGGATTCCTCTGCCGCTGAGAGTTCTGCCCATTCAGATCGCAACCTGGATTCCAGTGCCGCTATCTCCAACGAAGGGTTTTGGAGCAATAAATTTTGCGCCTGCTTTAGAGTTTTCAATGCCTGAGCAGATCGCAATTGGATGGACGTACGAAAGTTTTAACAAGATATATTCAAGACCTCTAACGAAGAAATATCTTTCTTTGGAGTCAGATGCTATGACTCGAAATCATATAACTTTCGCATTTTATTACAGTATGGTTTACTCTGGACTTTTAATATCTATAATATCACATGTATTTTAGTATATATGTTGCGGTCCACTATTTCACGTGTGTGTGTATATATATATATATATATATATATATATATATATATATATATATATATATA